GTGAATTAACCTCAGCGAAGGGGAGGAGACCTTGCTGAGTTCATTATATTGAATACTATAATACCTCAGTCTCTAAAATTGCATTACATTAACTGAGAATAATGCAAACTTTATTCTTTCACACATATAGTAGCTTAATGAGCCATTAAAATGTCTAGCATTTAAAGCATACAGTGAGGAGATATATAGTTTAAGCTTCAGAAATCATCCAAATATGTTGCAAGTGCTAACAGCACTCACAACAGAAGAAATCTTGCCTTTTATTTATTTTTAAATTCCCCTTTCATTCTATTCCACAAAATGCATTTATTTACAAAGCAAACTGGAGAAATCTGTTAATACTGAATCAAGTAATCTAAGTTAGGAATGGCAAAATGGGAACATATATGTTGGGTAAGACCCTGATCAGGTCCCAGGAAATGCCACTCGTTTTCTCTTACACTGTCTCTAGTTAATTAGAAAGTTCTTCCTTTCCCACTGATCAGAGTTCCAGAAGGAATCTGTCCCCTTGGAAGTAAAATACCCATCCACAAAGGGGCCATGTAGTTTTGCAGCAACCTGCAGACCTTCCAAACAGGCTCTCATATAGAAATGTTGGGTTTGGACCTCACAATGGGAAATCCCCAGCACTCCTGTGACTGTAGACAAGGGTTCAGCCTTGCTGCTTTTGCCTGCAAAGCCTAAACCATTTGAAACCACAGCAGATGCATGCCCAGAGGATCAAGGAAAGACAGAACATGGTTGCAGAGCTGTAACTTTGTCCTATTGCAGACCAACCTCACCCATTGTATTCTTCTCCTCTCAGAAATGTAATGTATCTAATTGCTTCTGTATGATTGGCTTAGAAACAATACCCATAAATCTGTGAAACGTCTCTATGAAATATGCTTGCATAAACTTGGCATGCCCAGAAATAAAATCCTTCACCAAATGGAAAGTTACTGCCAGACGTGATTTTTCCAAGATCTGTTATTTTTGACAGTATTTTATCAGAAGTCTGGTCTGATCCTTTATTTATATGATGAATAACTTCAGTAATTCTTTTAACAGAACTTTCAAGGCTCTGTTATTTTGATTTTTCCATCATTCTATATTGCCTAACTATTACCATAAAACTAATTTAATAAGGTTTATTATAGTAGAGCAGCAGTTTGGCTGATTAAATGTGTATCAAGAGTATTAAACCATCTCCTTCACCTTTGTTCCAAAGTAACTGCATATACTACTATATAACTGCTATTATAACTCAATGTATGTTTCATGGTTGTGAGAATTTTAATATATCTCATTCTAAAGTCTACTGCTTCAATTGGTCTCATGGCTCAGCACTGCTAGTAAGATAAAAAAATAGAACCTATGCTATACCACTCAGAAGAAATTACAGTTTGCGAGACAAGAAACAGCTTTGTCATGCAACAACAGACTGTAGTACAACAGGCCTGAAAAAGTTCAGCAGCTTTGCAAGTGTGCATTTTAGGCAGAAAAGACGGCTAAAGGGATAAACTGGACTAACACCACAAAAACTTAAATAAGTGAAAGGAACCTTGGAATTTCCATGCACGTCTTCTTTTTTCCACCTCATTAGCCTCTCTGATAAGTATTATTAATAGGACTCTTGATTCTGGTTGAGACTATAGGTGAAAATATGTAAGACCAATTCACACAGGGATTTAAAAGGAAGGCCTTTAGAACAAGGAAACTGCTGCACTTTTGTATTAATGAAGAATGTTCTGGGAAGACTCTAAAACTGCTTTAGTGTTAGAATGTATTCCAAAACACTGCATTTGGGGCAACAGTGAAAAACATCCATTAGTGAGGCAAATAGTAGTATGAAATGCCACTGGTTCTTAGCATATTTTCCAATAATTTCTTTTTTTTAGAAAAGGTACTTAATATAACACTGTTGCACTTTATAAACTTTGACCAACCTATCTCACCAGCTCAAGAACCTCTGCATTCCAGCATGGAATTCTGTCAGGCCTGTTTAAAATAAAGCTCAAGTTCATGCTACCCATGTCCTATATCCATATCTCTTCTTTCCCTACACTTGCTTCCTTATAAAATCCAGACAGTAATTGTAGAAAATGCATTTATGAGACGCTAATGCTCAGTTTAAACCATGCATAAGATGTGTTCCCATTAGGCACATGCACACAGAGCAGATATATATGACACACACACACACACACACACATATATATATATATATATATACACGGTCAGCCACACAGATCACAGAGAGACACTCAGAAAACTCAACACCAACTGACAGCACAGATGGTCTCATCCTGCTCCCCTCTCTGGCTGAGCAGGACAGAGGTCCACTGGGCTCAGACACAAACACTCGTGACACCCCTCACCCAGAAAGGTGTTAGAAACTAATTTAATAAGCAGTTAGGACAGACTGCACTGATCCAGCACAGACAAGATACCAACCAGCCAACTATTTTCACGCAGCCTTTTTATCCCCTTTACCATTTATTTTTCCACACCTGTCCCTCCTCAGTATCATCTAAATCCCTCCCTTTTTCCTGCCTTTTGTTCCTCCAACAATAAGCCATGTACAACCCCAAAACGCTCTTCCCCTGTATCCCACCATGTGTCCCACCCCACAGCAGCACCAGAAAGGTGATCCAAAAATCTGCTCGGGATGACTGGTGGTGATGGGTTTCACACCTGGACTCAGAGTGGGGGAGCTGGAGCTGTCCTGCGGCAGCCCTGGGAGGGGCCTGGATACGGTCTTCATTCCCAGGTGTCTACAGTTTGGGTTCCTGCCTGCCATGGTGTCCTGTGCTCCTCTAGGCTTGTGAGGGGCCTGGGAGCATCCGAGACAGGGCAATATTTGGGTTCTCCCTGCCCCATCGCTGCCTATCAGTGTTCCTTTGTGGGTGTGCCGAGAAGCTATTACACATAACTTAATACAAAGTACCTTAAAAACAACAGAAGGGCACAGGCTGCAAGGAGTTTGAAAATTACATTGAATTTGTACTTTCCTAAATGAAAACTTAATTGCATTAGAAGCACCTTCATACATTGTTTTCAATTTGAAGAGACTGTGTTTTAAAATACTGTCCTGTGATGCTGGTCACAGGCAGAAATGTACTGTTGTAAGGTGCACAGGTATCTTAGACCTTCTACGTCTTAGGGGTGGAGGTAATTTAAATACAATGATGAACAATTTTCCATCGTATCATCACAAATATTCACCCATAAAGAAAGATGATAACTAAAGGAAAAGTCAGACAAGACTCAAGTGTTTGTCACAGAACATAGTGTACAGCCACTGCACTGGTTTTGGGATATTTGCTGATGCTTAACACGCCAAAGACTACTATGATTTCCCAAAGTACATTTTCAAGAAACTATCAAGTCTCTCTTCATTTGAGCCACTACAGTCTTTGGAGGCAAAGAGGACCAGAAGAGGATTAATGGCAAGAAAAAAATCAAGTTGGGAGGTTTGTTCCTGCTGTTGTTTGATCACAGTAATTTTGAGCTTCATCTTTCTGCCAATTTCTATTACAAAACCCCCCAAACGCATGCTCAATTAAAGATTAATGCATAATGATCTCATTTTTTATGTCTGATTCACGTCATCACCTATACTATAACATTTTAAGAATTCTTGTCAGTAGCCTGATAAAGCTTGTCACAGTTTCAGGCTTGCTGTTACTGTCAAGTACTATCAAGCAATATGGCAAATAACAGCAAATATGCCCAGTCCAAAGAATTCATGTCCTTGAAGACGTTATTGTAGATACATGTGCAAACATGCATCTGTAAACTTACTACAACATAAGATTACAACTATTGCCAAACGTTAAGTCTCTTTCAAAGTGCAAATTTAAATTCTATATTCTATTAACAAAGATGACCAAATAGAGGATCTTTTTAATTTAAAATTATGTATTTTCTTCTCTGTTTGACATCAATTTATTTATGCCACAGCAAGACTTCTGCAGGTACATTCCATTTGACCACAGAAGTCAAAGGCAGCAAAGGCCTACTAGTTCATTCATTCTGCTGATACCACGCTGTTAATCCCAGGAGTAAAGTAAAACTCAAATTAAAGCCCTTCACCTGATCTACCAGAGGACTAGTCCACCCTCCATCAAGTCTCAGGCAGGAAAACTGTTCTGCCCTTCAGCATTTGCCTTAAATTCACCTCTTCATAGACTACCTTCTTCCTTGTTAGGTTTTACATTTTAACACACACAAAGCATTGCCTTCTCAGACAGAGGCACTCCACACTCCCAACTAATTCAGTCCCTCTTCCCATTCCATCCTGGGCTTTATTGCCAAGCCAAGGCTTCCACTTTTCAGTTTCCAGGCTCTGTGACACTGACACGTCCTTCCTCCGGCAGCCTTCTCTCAGAGCCCACGTGCAGACACGTTAACGGGAAGCCCTTTCTATCACCACGTGCACAAAACACCTGTGTTTGGCCCTTCAGTCTCCACGAACCGCGGGACTTGGCAGACCTCACGGCCGACTGCTCCAGGCAGAACACTCCTTAATTTTTCATCCTCTGACACCAAAAGACACGGCTACACCGAAGTTTCCTAGGAGACAGCAGCTGCAGAGGAAAGCTCTCAAATCGCCAGTGGCCAGCGGGGGCACAGCCCAGACCTTCCCCAACATTCCTGTCAGGGGTCAGGGTGTCGTGGGCGGCGTCACGTCGCTTATTTTGTTGAAGTAAAGGGGGTGCCCTGCTGAGGGGCTCCTGGAGGCCGGCGAGGCAGCGCCGGATAGCGGCGCAGGACCCGGTGCCCCGGGGCCGTTAACAGCCCCCGCCGCCCTCCCGTGCGTGACACCAGCGCCGCGTCCTGCCCGGGCTCCGCCCCCCCCGGACTGACGGGCGTTGGCCCCGCCCACAGGCGGAGGTGACGTCAGTGGGGCCGGAGAGAGGCGGGCGCGCTGACTGGCTGCCGCGCGGCAGGGGCGGGCCCGGGG